TCATTTGAATGATCTTTAAGATATGCCGATATTTTAGCCATCTCTGCTAAGTTTGTAACTTTCAATGTCCATTCTTGTATATAAAATTATCTTGAATTCCCCTGACCCAGTGGAGCTAAAGATCTTTATGAGATGACAAATTTATTGTTTTAACAGCATATTATGATAACTAAAGTATTTCTTCCCAAAATGTATTAATACAGTATATGTAGAAATTTGAAGTCAAAACAAAGCTCTAAGAGAACAGGGCCAAATCTGAGTTTTCAAATAAGTGTTTCTCCAGATATCCTCATTAGTTTCCTCGTGTGCCATCCAAATTTCTGGTCATGTCCATCACTTTACCAATTCTTCTAAGGTCCATGTTTCCAGATGAGGTCCCAGAAACTGTGTCTCTCTGCCTCAATGCCCTTCTGATAAAGACCATTTTTCATGTCCTTAGCTTCTTTCTTGTGCTTTGGGAGTAAGTGCTTCAATTTTCTTCTCAAGTAATCTCTGTGCCAAGGCTCTTCTTCAGTCACTGATTTAGTATTTTTTTCTTTGGCTGCAGTTATCAAAAAAAATGTGAGATGAATCCCCGATGATATCACTCAAATTGTATTTTACAAAATTGTTAGCCAAGCTTAACATTATTTATATGCAACAAGCCATCAACAATGCCCAGTGATGTTTGTGTTAGTATTTCCTAAGTCATCTCTGTCTACAGTGTTGAAATCATCTCTAAACGGACTGCTGTTTCTGTCATTTGCTGTGTTCTTAGGTTTGCCTAGAAGAATATCATTTTACAATCAATATACAAGAGAATATCAAGGTTTCAATATTTAGTACTGCAATTAATGTCCAGCAAGGACATGTGAAGAGGTATGCTTACAGTAGATGTACCAAATCAATCACTTTAGAGTTCTCCTAGAGCTCATCCATTGCCTTCATCAAAAATATAATTGCTGGAATTCATATACATTCAATAGCTATTTTGTAGGCTATTAAGCCACCAAAACCTGGTATATCCATTGGATATACAGAGTTTCTATAAGCAGGCAAAGAATTTACACATTGGATAGACAGAATTTCTGGGGAAGTGAGATTCCACAAGGAAATGGAATAGCTTAGTTGCCATCAATGCAATGGCTCAGCGGCTAAGACGCTGAGCTTGTTGATCAGAAAGATCAGTAGTTTGGCGGTTCAAATCACTAGCACTGCATAACCGAGTGAGCCCCTGTTGCTGTCCCAGCTTCTGCCAACCTAGCAGTTCAAAAGCACGTAAAAATGCAAGTAGAAAAATAGGAACCATCTTTGGTGGGAAGGTAACAGTGTTCTATGAGCCTGTGGTGTTTAGTCATGCTGGCCACATGACCATGGAGATGTCATTGGACAGCGCTGCCTCTTTGGCTTTGAAACGGAGATGAGCACCGCCCCCTAGAGTCAGGAACAACTAGCACATATGGGCAAGGGGAACCTTTACCTTTACATCAACCATTTACAAATTCCAATTTTCTTTTTTTTTTTTTACTTTTTATTTTGTTTATGTAAACTTCACATCTTTGCAACACAAATTTCAAATAC